TTATGGGAACTAATGAAGAACTTTTCTTGATGCACCCTCTCCACCCCACTCATGCTTTTATAGACCTCTATCCTATCCCCCCTCAGTCTCCTCTTTTCTAAACTGAAAAGTCCCAGTCTCTTTAGCCTCTCTACATATGGGACCTCTTCCAAACCTCTGATCATTGTAGTTGCCCTCCCCTCTCCCACCCTCTCTCTTCCCCTCTCCCACCTCCTTTTCCCAGTCTCCCCGAGTTTTGTTCAATAAAGAGAGATTCTATTTTTGACCACACGTTTTCTTTATTTTGTACATCAGGAAGGGGGGCTAGGGAAGGGTAAGTGGAAGGAGGTGAGGGAGGAATGCGGTACGAGCCCCCGATGGGGAGGACTGGGCTGGCTCTGCGGGCTTCTGGGGGTGGAAGCTCTCCTGCAGCCCCCCAATTGCCCCCTATCCCCAGATGGCAGCCTGCGGCAAGTGCAGCCGGTCTGATGGCCAAGTGCTGTGATGTGCCCAGTGTGGGCACTCAGGGCACTCCAAGCCAGGACTGCTTTGCAAGCAGGGCACCCCTGAGAACTGTCTGTCCGGGGTGGGGGTCAGGACCCTTTAAGCACAGCCCTCGGCTAGCCTGAGGCAGCAGTTCTACGCTCTAAGTCCTCATCTGATGCCCTGCCGGCACTGCTTCCGGCCATCCTTAACCCCGGTTCAGGGTCCACTTAATGTGGACATGCTAGTTCGAATTAGCAAAACGCTAATTCAAACTAGTTTTTTAGTCTGGATCCGTTAGTTCGAATTAGCTTAGTTCGAATTAACTAATTCGAACTAAGTTAGTTCGAATTAGCGCTGTAGTGTAGGCATACCCAGATAGTTTTTAAAAGCTGCGCTCTGATTTTCTTGACTTGCTGGCCCGTATGTACTTTTTTAGGTTTGCCCAAGAGCTCATCCAATACCACATGATTTTCCAATTTAATCTCTCACGGAGCTCTGCCTGGCAAACTCCACTATTTAATTCTCTTCCTCATCCAGAATCCTATGTTGAGGGGGTTTTTTAAACCTACATTTTCAGAGTTCAGTAGGCATAATTTGCATGAGGTGTAGCTACAGTGACAGTAATTGCACATGTTTATTATGCAATGCAGCTCTGAAAATTTGGAGCGCAAATATTCAATAGAGCAGGTAATTATTTGATTTGAGAATTTACAATTTTATTCTGATGAATTGTCTTATCAAATGGCTCTAACCTCAGTGGATAACACACATTAGTTAACTATTTCTGCTTTCAACTTAATTGGTGAGATAGCTGACAATGTTGGAATTTAAAATATCATTATTTGGCTGCTGAGTTAACACCCCATTGAGATGAACAGAGAAGTTCGCAGTTTATACCTTCCTAATGGTCATGTATCAATCTATCTACATTGATCATCTCGTATCCACAGAGCTCGACAATCAGAAGGGCTAGAAATAATTTTATTTTTAAAGTAAAACTGTAATCCCACTGTAGACTGTACATCACACATATTTCTAGTGGCCCACGGCTCACATAACTAGTCTCCTCTGTAAGGAGATCAAGATGATGGCCATCTCTTGTTTTTTGTTCTTGCCATGATATGAAAAAAACACCTGATTAACAGTGGCGTTCAAATAGTCATGTTCCATATCTATAAACATAGGCCTAGCTATATGTACATACTGCTGCTCTGGTAGGTTTCTAAACGTGGAACTATTATAGGGATCAGACTATTTGAAGATACTACCCAGTTACTAAACTCTACATCACTCCACCTGAACCCAGGAGTACTATAATTTTCTGTAATAACCCAAGGGCCTGGTGAACCAGTTGGAAAAAATAGCAAGTGACACAAAACCTTATCATAACTCAAGTCAATTTTTTGACGTTTAGGTGTTCAATTACTTCTGTTTGGAGGGGGTGTTTTTTTAGTGTGCAGTTGTTTTGCTCAAGGAATAAAAGGGGACGCATAAAACATTTGGTGAGCAAGCTTGCTTGTATGAGATTTTCTGACCCATTCTGCAGACTCAGGAGAGTGGATTACAAATTCAAGCCAAAGAAACTGAACTGTTTGCATTTCCCTAAGCACTATCTAAAAGTATTTGTTTTTAGCTTTAGGGCATGCTACTCCAACTTGTCCATTCCTACGCATTACTGAACACATGAATTCATTCCAATCATGTGATCTTCCACTGTGCTGCCTAAGTATTCTTCTCCAACTCCCATATCCCCAGAGAATTGCTGAAGTGTGCAGTGAAACCTTGAGTACAGACTAAAAAGGATCAGATGTGAAAATTAACATCAAGAACACTGGTAATTTTACATCAAAATATTTATTAAACAAAAGTTTGCCAAAGCTCCAGAAATGAACAGCAACTAA